AGACCCCCGGCAGTCATCTGCCTGTCCCCGTCGCCATTTTTTCGTCGCCATAAGACTTTTAGGGGGTATAAGGTGTTTTGGTGATGATGAGAGGTATGATGAGCTGGGTGATGGCTGCGTGTGAGTTGATTTATGTGGTCAGGCAGGAGTGCATGCTGCAACCACACATCTTGGCTCTTCATTTTCCTAATCCAGTGGTGCAAGTGTTGCAACAACTGGGGAGAGGGAGAGTTGCAATGGACTGCCAACAGCCCAGTTGTTGGGTTTCGCCTTAGTAGCCTGTCCATCAGGCATTGCCTTTGTCCGCCGGTATAGTTTTTGGGTTTCCATGGTGGTCACCTCTTCCGCCTACACCTCTGTTTGGGTCTTCTTGGAGCTCTGTAAGCATGTCTGCCTGATGCGGAGCTCCACCGCAGTATTTTCGTTTGGGGTTTACTCTTGTAGCCTTATACTTGCCAAGGTTAATCCGCAAGGCAGTGGGGCGGTGGTTGGTAGGCGCCAGGACGTGTCCACATACCAGTGAGCCTATCAGCCATCTCTATGGGGCCCACTGCTACTCCGAGATCCCCTGCTGATCTAGCCACGGCCCTTGAGGCACGCAGTTACCGTATGTTGCCACGAGGAGGCACAGCAGGAGTCTTGATGGTGAAGAGGCTGTGTACTGGCATTGGAAGACTTATGTAAGTTGCTTCCCTGTTCGCCACGAGGGCTAGACAGTGGCGGCAGCTGAAAGCGAGAGGGAGCAAGCAGTGCTTGCACCTTAACACTAACATAATGCTGCCACATTAGACGCATTTCACCACCCTGTGTAGTGTGTGTATGCGTGCACACCTACACACACACACACACACAGTTTTGGCGCCGCATTTGTGTGTATTAGTATCTTACGAGTTGTCTATAATCTTAGGTCATGTGTAGTCATGGGTCGTGTGTATTCATGCATTTTGTAGAGCCATGGGTTGTGAGTAGAAAAAACAAAAAAGGAAACCAATACTTGGCAACTCGTCAGCTACGTGATTCAAAATTGCCAAGATGCTTTTTATCTCTGGGTTTTAGGTTAGATAGGTGGGGTGACCCAGGCCAAAATATTTATTTATGTTTTCTTTACTTTATCTTTTTCTTCGATCACTTAATTTCTCTCTCTCTCTCTCTCTCTCTCTCTCTCTCTCTCTCTCTCTCTCTCTCTCTCTCTCTCTCTCTCTCTCTCTCTCTCTCTCCATTTATGCAAATAATCTGAAAACAGAGGAAAAAGTCAATACATCCACCAGCTGTTGAAAGATTTTAAAGGATGGGGCATATTTACATGTTTGGTTGAGCTCGTCACGAGTTCTGAAAAGAAAACATGGGTGAATCATCTTTATCACAGTAATTTTAACCTCTTGAATACGAAGACTTGATTTCATGAGTACTGTGTTTGTGTACTCAAGAGGAATAGTAATCGTATTCAAAGAGATAAGAAAAAATCGTACATAAGGTATTAATTATTGTACCCAAGGGGTCAAGTCGTCATACTCAGGGGTAAAATTATCTAACTCAATGGGCGGATTCACAGTACTTAGAAGAAAAGCATTGTACTCAAGGTGTTAAGTCGTCGTACTCAGGGGGTAAAGTTCTCTTACTCAATGGGCTGATTCATAGTGCTTAGGAGCAAGTTATTGTATTCATGTGGTCAAGTTGTCACACTCAGTGGTAGAGATATCTTTCTCAATGGACAGGTTTATAGTACTCAGGAGAAAGGCATTGTTCTCAAGGGGTTAAGAACATCTCGTCCTAAAAGATCTTTCATTTTGTCTCTTTTGGATCTGGTATATGTTTACATGGTATAAAAACACTAAACGAGATATGCCTGGCGATCCGTAACTACTAATAAATATATATGATGATTGCCCCTAGTAGAACGAGGACGGCCGGCCCAAGGGCCACTTAAGCGTGAATTTTTTAAGGTGTAGAAGCTATCGACAACACAACAACTACACCCTAAGTTAACGAGTTGCATAATCCAGTGTCAAGGAATAGTTTAATAAGACTGGAAAACTCGCCAACTGCACTGGCTAACCATTACCCTGGAATGCGATCCGTAAATCGATTAACATCCAGGTCCCAAGTTACTGCTGGGTAGACAGAGGCAAATGGCAAATGGCGTAAAGAAACTTGCCAATTAAACATTCCCATAGAAGTTTCGGCTTTAACATGTACTTTGGTAATAGTTCTCAGCTAGAAGAGACAGGGATAGAGAGTCCTTTTTATTATCTTTGTCTCACCCGTTTTTTTCTAATTTAGGTTCCAATGTATAAATAGAATGTCCCATGGGCTTGATTACTAGATTGTAAGTAGTATGTGATGCTATGGTTTGGCTCCACGAGACAGCTGGATCTGGAACTTGCTTAATTAGAAAGTACTCTCTACTGTCAACAGTTGGTGGATAAGACCTAACACTTGTGCTGAGTGTTGTGTCAAGAGGAACCCCGCTTATATTTATACTTTGTTTTGTTCCTGGAGTTGTTGAGATGAAGGACTTAGCTGTCAGTTTGTCTCTCTCTGTTGATATGAGATGTTATGGGTTTCTTTCCATCTAGAATTCCAATATTCACCTTATTTCGGCTCTATGGCATGTGTACCATTACCACATTCTACAAGAGGGATAAGACCATCCTGTGGAAAACCTGCAACCACTTAAAGACATCATTCAGCGTCATTTAGCCTTCTAAAACAACAAATAGCTTCCGTCCTTCAAGCCATTGGTTACAAAAACATTAATAAGATCGTCAAATGTATCTCAGATGTATGAATAAGATATGACGACACCTTGTGTGCTTACTCAAGTGACGTCAATGTTGCAATTTTGTATTTCCTAGTATTGTTACAGCGATGGCAGTACGTACATGTCATAGTCTTGGCACATATCTGACAATTAAGTTCGCGAACTTATGTTACAGCTGCCGGTACGTACCTTACTGAGGAACAGCGCTGTGGTCCACTTCAAAGTATTCCCTTTGCAATGCTATACACAAACGCCAGCATTTTTTCCACCCATAGAAACATTTCTGGAACTCACTTTCTGGAATAGCTTTTATAGCTGTCGTTGTGCTACTCTGAATGTCACCCACATCTTGAAAATGCGTCCCCTTGATATTTTTCTTCAGCAAAGGAAATAGAAAAAAGTCACACGGGGCCAGGTCATGTGAATAAGGAGGGTGTTCCAGTGAAGTAATTTGTTAAACAATATAGTGCATAAGGTCATAATTATCCCATGCCTTCCTGTCAAGATGATGTTGCTCTTGACAGCTACATCCAATTGTTGTCTTGTCCATATCTCTTGTTTTTTTCACAGTAACATGATAATAAAATAATAATAACAATATCTCACAACATTGTCTAGGATATTGACATCATCACCATCGTCATCATCATCATCATTATTATCACCATTGTTAATAACATTATCATCATCATCAATAACATCATCGTCATCATCATCATTATCATCATCATCATTATAAAAATAATTTTGTTCATGTTTTGTGGTTTAGGCTGAGGGGTGATAAGGAATGTAGGCCTTCACACACCAAGAGGAGACTGAGGGAGACTGAATAACTGAGGAACAGGACTAAGATACAACACTAAGAAAGGGGAAATATGAAACAGTTATTACTTAGGACTCACTGTATTCCTGTATACCACTAAAGACTCTTAGAAAGGACAATACTCTACTCTATACACAAGAGAATTAAGAACTAATCATAACGATTCCCGGTTCATTAACGACGTTACTCAAAATGAACAATTACACTTCAAAACAATAACCTATCTCCCTAGCGGATAAAACCTAAAAGGTACTCACATTATTCCCCACTATATGACATGATGACACCCACACACCCACAATTAATTCTCTCCAAAACCCGACTGTCTTTTTCAAACTGCGTCGCCCACAAAGGGAGGCCAGCTCTACATGACGTCACTTCTCACAGGTTTTCTTATTGGTTCAGGCCTAAGGCATTCACCCTTACAGGTCATTGCGATTGGGTCAAACCCTCAGGCGGGAAACACTCATGACATTGTTACATCATCATCATCATCATCGTTAATAACATCATCGTGGTCATCATCATCATCATCATCATCATCATCATCATCATCATCATCATTGTAATGATTGAATATCAGACCATAGCTTACAGCCCAGAAGTATAACACATATCACAGGGAATACATGTAACAGAGAGTGTGTACAGACCTCGTGGTAACTGAAAATACCAGGTTGACACACCCCAAGACCCAAGGGACTTGACCTCACCCTCTAATGACTTGAGTTAGCCGGGTGACCTACAACCTCACCTGACCAAGACACCTGTGCATGACCAAACCTGAACACAGCTGTCCAGATCTAACCAGTTTAGCATTAATTGGGAAGGTCAAAAGCCGGCTGTTCCTGGCCCATATAAAGGCTCGGCAGCCAGCCTTCTTTCTACTGTTGACAACCGGAATACAACTCGACCTCTCTGTCTACCACTGGACTTCCCAGAAATCCTGTTTGGGGCAACGACCCTTGGGGGCTTCCGCCTTTGGAAAACGACCACGACTGCCACCGGACTACCTCACGAACGTTCAGAACTGTCAACCCTAGTTAGCCCTCCCCACGGGTAGAGTGAGTGATCCACACTCTTGCTGGAGGGCAGCTAATGATTGTCAGTACTGACGTAGTTTGAGGTCTTTCTCTCTTGCTGAAATCCTTCCTTACTTACCCTGGCCGAGGCACCTGCGTATATTTAGATATTCGTGCTAGAGCCCCTCCAGTGGAGCACACCTCACAGTAGGTGGGATTGTGTGTGTCTGTTGGAGGTCGGAGGAACACAGGCCAATTCGGCAGTGGAAAAACAGTGATAGTGGAGTTACACCACAGTCCGGGGGTCGCCTATAAGAACACTAAGAAGGGCCTCGAACAACCTTCTTTATCAACCACAATTAATACATGCTAGGAAGACTTAAACAAATAAACCATGGCTACCAAGGTTAGACTCAAGATCATAGACAAGAGAACAGCCCCTTCACGTTCACAGATAACTGGAACAGCGTATGGTACACTCAATGTACCCTTCACAAGGATTTTCTCATCGAACGATGGATACACTGCAATATGCAGGGACTACAGGGACGCAGATACCATTCTGAGCCCTGAGGGAATGCAAGCCTTTGGAGGCATAGGACTCCAGGTCATCATGCCACCAGAGGTTAAAGCAAAAAGATCAGTATTTGTACTTGGACTTGACTACGAATTTGGAAAACATTTCGCACAAGAAATAAAAGAAGAACCAGAAATAAAAAACAACTGGTTAAAAGTCGAAGAAGTGGTAAAAATAAAGCAATACACACATTGCTTAAAGTTGAGATTCACTGATACTTCAATGGCAGACAAGGCCCTGGAATCTGGAATCATAGGGTTCAACATGTCAGTACTCCCTAAACAACTAGAAAGGGAGAAATGCGTTAATATTCTCACCTGCTTTATCTGCTATGCACATGAATCTCATGCAACAAAAGACTGTCCTCAAAAGGAACTTAAAATATGCTCTGAATGCGCAGAAGAAGGCAATACTTTCCAGGACTGCAAGAATCAAGCCAAAGCATGTTTAAACTGTAAAAATCGGAAAGAGCCAGGATATAAGACCCACAGACCCCTAGCAATGGCCTGTCCATACAAAAAGAAAATTATAAATAAAAAAGTAGCAAAGGTAAAACAAGAACAAGAACAGAAGGAGAATACAACATATGCTGCTATTGCAAAGAAAGTAGTTGAAGAAACAACACAACCACAGAATACCACCAAATTGTACTGAGCGAAGTACGAGACTACAAAGTGCTCATATGCCAATTATATTCTCACATAATGAACATAGGGAACCCAGGCACGTTCGAAATAGAAATGAACAAAATGCTTGGAAGAAACAATCTCCCAACAATGAGTTTCCCAGCGAACCCAGCGTCTGGATCTGTGCTACAAGCGTCCCGCTTAACCAACCCAGATGCACCACAGGAGACAGTCAACGCAGAAGAAAAAGGAGCAGCGGAGCAAACACCAGCCGCAACAAACGAAGCTGACAAGGCAAAGTCACAAATGATCGAAACATCCACCCAAAGTACAGTAGAGAGGCAGGACCTTCAAAATACCATCCAAAGAGAGACAGGAGCCGTAAGGAAAAGTCACAACAGCAACCGTGGATACCCAGGGCGAGGAAACGCTCCTGACTTTAGAATATGCAGACGACTGCGTATTAGTCCCTAGTGAATGCAAAACGATGCCAGTCATTATTTAAGCCATAACGAAACAAGAACTAAAATGGACCTACTCTAACGAAAAATACTCTGAAGCACTTGTGGAAGCTTACCTGATAAACCAAAGAATTAAAATAAGGAGACACAACTTCAAAAAAGAAGAACAATGGAAATTCCAAAGAATCCGTAACGGACTGGTTCCGGACAAGAGATCTCCACCCACGCAACAAACATGAAACAAAAAATCAAAACACTATGAATAACGACAAACACAGAAGACTTACCATCATACAACACAACGTCCGCAACTGGAAAACAAATAAAAACAACCTTGCAAACACATACGTCAGAATTGATCCGGACATAATTTGAATAAATAGTCACGGCAATTCAAATTCTAAGAAAATAAAAATATTTGGATATACAACCTACCAAAGAAATAAAACAGAAGACTTAAATGATGGCGTGGCCATTGCTGTAAAACACAGACTCATACATCAAATCATCGACGATTTCCAGGATGAATTCCTGGGAATCAAAACAACTACCACACTTGGAGAAATCGCAATAGCCACAGCATATTTATCGCCAAGAAGGAACTACCTACCGGCCCCAGACTTGATAAAACTATTGAATTACAACTGCCCAACATATATAATAGGAGATCTGAACCCAAGACATCCAATATTCGGCCACGGAAACAGGAACAGGGTGGACACTGAATTGCATACCATAATGAACACAGGGAAGCTGATCCACCTAGGACCACACTTCACCACATTAATTGGCATTAACAAAACAACAACCCCAGACAAAGTCTTCACCAATAACAAGGCATTCCTGAATTACCATATAAAACAAGGACCACTAACTACCAGTGACCACATTCCAATGATAATAAAACTATCTACAAGCCCAATCCAAGTACCAACAACCCCACGTTTCCAAATGCAAAAAGCAGACTGGGAAGGCTACAGGTAGCAACTAGAACAAGTTACGAACCCAGATCTCCAAGGCAAAATACTAGAAGATATAGACAACGAAACAGATACCCTTATACATAACATCAAAAAGGCAACAGAGAACAACATACCAATCACAACATATCGAACGCTACCACACATCAGGACATCTCATGAATTGAGAATGCTCCAAGTACAATACAATAACATAATGATGTACATACAAAACTATCCACCAACAACAGAGCTTATTAGAAACTTAAGGCAAATACAACAAGAGTTAAGAGATGAAAGCCTGTTAACACACACACAGATATGGAACGAACTAATAAACAACTTGGATACCACAAGAAATTACAAGAACTTCTGGCAGAACGGTAAACAAAATTCTAGCAAACGACAAACCCCAACAAAAGTACATAAAAGACCAAAACGGGAAAAAAAACCCTTTCAGGAAAAAGAGATAGAATCCGCACACAGGCGAGAATGGAAAAAGTATTTCAAATATCAGAAGAAGAAAATAAGCAATTTGATGAGGAACATGAAAATCATATCTGCAGAGAAATGGCTGAAATGATACATAGGATAACCCCACACCATGTGGTGGACCAAACCAGGCTCAACTCGATAGAACCAATTACAGAAGGAGAACTGCTACACTACATCAGACACACTAAAGAAAAAGCACCGGGATTCACAAAAATCACAAGAAATATGATCCTATACCTACCCAACAACTGCATACAAGGCATCCTTGAAATATTAAACTCAACATTGGCAAGTGGATACTTCATTAATGCATTCAAAAACGCAAATCTCATGTCCATACCGAAACCAGCCAAAGACCACACTCAAGTAATTAACTACAGACCGATTTCCCTACTCGAAGTTATAGGAAAACTATTTGAAAAGGCAATAAACAAGAGAATCAGAAAACACAGGAGCGAAAAAGGGACTACTAAACCCCAGACAACATGGAATCACTGAAAAAAAGAGAACACATACTGCACTAGCCATAATCACGGACACGTTAGCCAACAAGAAAGCAGAAAGAAACCAAGTCAACATTGTATTAAGAGACGTTAAGAAAGCGTTCGATAAAGTATGGCACCTCGGATTAAAATTTAAACTGCTTCAATTAAATCTTCCAGACCCACTAGAAAAAATCGTCTGTGACTTCCTAGACGATCGCACGGCACAAATACAAATTGGACCACCCATAGAACTGAAAAGTGGAGTACCCCAAGGCAGTGTCCTTTCACCCACGCTGTACAATATCTACACAGCAGACCTACCAGAACCAGCTCCCTACAGTGAATACATAAGCTTTGCAGACGATATCACACAAATCATCACATACCCCGGCAAATCAACAGCAATAATGGCACAACACACTGCCAACGCAATAGAGAACATCAACCAGTACGAAAAAAAGTGGAAGATACAAACGAACACCAACAAGTTCAAAATAATACCAATCGCGAAAAGGAAAAAAAGACCCCATTATAGTAGACAACAAAGTGATTCCATATGCCATGGAAGGCACTGTCCTAGGGCTGAAGATAACAACAAAAGGCTACAAAACATTCATCACCGAAAAACTTGCAAAAAACAGAAACATGGTAATTAAATTAAAACGCTTCAGAAGCCTGTCAGCAAAAAACAAGTTAAAGTTATATAGAGCCTTTGTCCAATCCCTACTAGTATATCCACCAATTCCCCTACATGGAATAAAACAAACAAACATAAAGAAACTGCAGACAATTCAAAACTTAGCCCTATGGGATGTATACAACATCAGATATCCTGACATAGTCACCAACCATCAACTACACCAACGAGCGGAAATAGAACCCCTAACCGTTTACCTACACCAACACTCAAAAAGAATATAGACAAAGTTAGAAGAAATAGAGGCAGGACCAATCATAGAATGGATGAAAGAGACAGAAGAAGGAAGAAGAGAACACTTGTGGTTCCCTCGCAGTAAAAGAAGAGCCCTAGAACCCACACCAACTCCACTCTATTGAAAGATGCAACGTTACCCCAGTGACAACCTTGGCAGCCCTACCACTTACAACATTACATCATATAAAGATGGGATGTTCTTAGCAGAAACATAAGTACCTGCCCTAGACTCCCCACCATTGGCTAGGACACAAGACCCGAAAATGTAAGGCATAAAATTGCAATATTTGCTAAACAAACAAACACCTGACATAAATATAACACCTAAGACGAAAATTAGCTGAAACACAAACATGAGAAAACAGAAGCATTTGGGTTGAGCCCCAAGACCTAGCATTCTACTACTATTTTCCAATTTCCTCGCTTTTCTTCTTGCACTATCCACCAACCCCAAGTCCCTCCAAATTCCACCATCATTCTTCAAATCCAGTTCCCACACCACCAATCTACGAACCAGCATCAAGATCTCTTCATACTTTACTTCACCCATCGATCGATCGATCGAAGGGCTCATTATAATGAGCCAACACAATTTTTCTGGCACAAGGTTTTTAAACGGATTTTAAGTAAATTTGGGGTGTAGAATCCAAATATGACTTTGGTTTTTGTCTATCACATCAGGTTTTTGAGATATACCATATTGCACTTTTGCTGGGAAACGTAAACTTTTGGATCAAAATTAACGGTTTAAACATGTATACAGAAATTTTTTCAGCATTATAATTTGTATTTTTCTATAACCAAAAATTGTTAATATCAAATTGGAAAGTTAATGCACATATAATATTTAAATGTAACATTGAAGGGTGAAAAAAAACAATTAATGTACGGTAGAAATAGTGCAAGTATTAAGATCAAGTTACAGTTACATAAACTTCCTCTCTTTGGCCGATCCCTTATGTACAGCTTCTGGAATGTCTCTCATCAAACTCCAGCAGTAGTCCGCCATCATGTTCGAGTCCCATCGACCTTGGTAACGTTCTTCCATTACTTTAATGTCTTGATGAAAGCGCTCCCCTTGCTCCTCGCTCACTTCTCCCAGATTTTCTGGAAACTCGTCCAAGTGACTGTGTAAGTAGTGAACCTTGATACTCATTCTGCATCCAAGTGCTTGTAAACTCAAGAGCTGCTCTTCCACAATTTCTTGATGGTTGTCCGCTTTCTTGTTCCCTAAGAAGTTCCGCACCACATTAGAGAAAGCATTCCAAGTTCTTGCCTGTGCCTCAGTCATTGTTGCAAGGAAGTGTGGATCTCTGAGTAGTGTTCTTATTTGAGGTCCATCAAAAATCCCTGCCTTTTTTTTCTCGTCGCTAAGACTTGGAAAGGTTGAGCATATATATCTGAAACACTCTCCACTATGATCAAGATCCTTGACGAATTGCTTCATGATACCAAGTTTTATGTGCAGAGGAGGAAGGACAATGTTTTTCCTGTCAACCAGAGGAACGTTAATGATATTCTTGTCACCAGGCGTCAAACTTTGTCTTGGTGGCCAATTCTTTTTCACCCAATGGTCTGCTGTAGCCCTGCTGTCCCAGTAGCACAGAAAACAGGGGTATTTTGTGTACCCTCCTTGCTGGCCCAATAGAAAGTTTACCATTTTCAAGTCCACACAAATTAACCATTCATGAGCATGGTATTGCAACCTCTCTAGAACAGTCTTAATGTTTTCATACTCTTCTTTAATTTGTACAGAATGTCCGATTGGAATTGAACCATACTTGTTTCCGTTATGAAGAAGAACACATTTCATGCTCCTTTTAGAACTGTCAATAAAAAGTCTCCAATCCTTACTATCATATGCTGGTAGTCCCATGGAGAGAAGAAGTCCTTCTATATCATCACAAAAAACAAGCTGGTCATATGAATGAAAGTACTTCCGCAGTTGCTCTTCTCTGTTGCGATAAAAGGAGACACTCGTGCCAGGTTTTAAGAGTCGTTTCTCTTGAAACCTGGAAGCTAACAATTCAGCAGACTGTTTTGGCAAATTTAGATCTCTGACCAGATCATTCAATTCTGACTGAGTAAACAACGTTGGCTTTTCACAATCTTCACCAGATGGCTTGAAAAGATCAGTCTCTTTATCTTCATCAGTAGAAACAGGTGAATTCCGGTCTATATCCTCAATCTCTGGTAGCTCAGTAAATTCTGGCACGTTACGTGATGGAGCAAATCTGAGATCAGATTTGGATTCAGCACCTTAAAGTTAGTAAAAAACAGTTAAAAGGTTTCATGCCAGAAAAAAAAATATTTTTTTGTAGACCAGTGTTATCATTCTGATTCTGGTTGTCATTCGAACATTCTGATGAGACGCTCATTACTCTGGGATTCTCATACGGTATCATTCAGAGAAGTTGGTCATTGAGAGGTCATTCTGGTCAACCACACAGTCACGCTCGTCCTCTCCCCCCAGGTCGGGAGGGGGACTTCCCGACCAGACCCCAGCTAAGCAGCCCAGTCACGCATCCACTGGGCGTACGTCAGGTTACACGTGAGTCATTGTCAGAGCTATCTCTAGGGTGAGTTACCTACTGTGGGAAGTGTATTCATTCATGTTGTGTCCGAGAGTCAGTGTCGAGTAACGTAAGACCTAATGTGTTAATACCCCGATATAATAGTGATATTGATGTGTCCATGTCATTGAGTGAATTAATAAATAGTTGTATCGAAGAGGTGTTTGAGAAGTTGCCCCTTAAGAAGAATAGATATGTGTATTGACGTAGAAGATAAGTGTATTGACAAAGAGTAAATAACATCCCCGCCACGCTACCCAAGTTTCCTATCTTTACATTGCTACTCTCTATACTTCCTACTATATGTAATCCTCTCTTCTTGATTATTGTGTATCATTATATCATTAACATCATCATTATCATCCTCATCATCATCATCATCATCATCATCGTTAACATCACCATCATCATCATCATCATCGTTAATTACATCATCATCATCATCATCATCATCATAATCATCATCATTCTACAGGTGTGCAGTATACCACCCGGGACACTGTCCTGACATCATTACTCTACAGGTGTGTACTGCAACAACACCCGGGACTCTGTACTGACACCATTACTCTCTTACAGGAGTGTACTGTAACACCACCTGGGACACACTGTACTGCTGGCCGGCCACACAGGCAGGGAGGACGGTGAGTGAGTCCTGCGCCACTGTCTTCAGCGATGTCCCTGACCTGCTCAACTATCCTAAGGGTGAGTCCCTCCTTCTGTCTGGTATGGTGAGGCCCCTGTCCTTTCCTTCTCTCCTCTCCCCTCTTACATCGTCCTTCTTTCCTCTCCCCTCTTACATCATCCTTCCTTCCTTCCTCCCTTTCCTTTTATCACCGCCCCTTCTTCATCATACAAAGGCGTGTTACAAGACTAGCGAGGTCATCCTAAAACTACTTCTTGCGCTTGTGAGACCTCACTTGGATTACACAGTTCAATTCTGGTCACCTTATTACAGAATGGATATAGAATCCTTGGAAAGAATTCAGAGGAGAATGACAAGGCTGATCCCGGGCATTAGGAACCTTGAGTACAGAGACAAGTTAAAGCATCTTAATTTGCACTCCCTCGAGAGACGTAGAGTGAGAGGCGATATGATAGAGGTGTATAAATGGAAGTCAGGGCTGAACAAAGGGGACATTACAAAGGTACTCAAACTATCCAACCAGGAGCGAATTCGTAACAATGGTTTTAAATTAGACAAATTTAGATTTAGGCGGGAAATAGTTAAATACTGGTTTGGTAACAGAGTAGTGGATGAATGGAACAAGTTACCAAATATCATCATTAACTCGAATACGCTGGATAGCTTCAAACATAGGTTGGATGCTCATATGAGCAATAGGGGTTGGGTGTAAATGGGACTGCCCAGTATGGGCCAATAGGCCCACTGCAGTTTCCTCCATTCTTATGTTCTTATGTTCTTATATGTTCCTTTTCCCTATTCCACCAGTCTTTCTTTCACCGTTCCTTCTCCCCCCGCCTTTTCTCTTCCATTGCCCCTTCTTCCTCCCCCCTTTCTTCCACCGCCCCTTCTCCCTCCATTTAACTCCAACCAGGAGCGAACTCGTAACAATGGTTTTAAATTCGACAAATTTAGATTTAGGCGTGAAATAGGTAAACACTGTTTTGGAAACAGAGTTGTGGATGAATGGAACAAGTTACCAAATATCATCATTAACTCGAATACGCTGAATAGCTTCAAACATAGGTTGGATGCTTATATGAGCAATAGGGGTTGGGTGTAAACGGGACTGCCCAGTATGGGCCAATAGGCCCGCTGCAGTTTCCTCCATTCTTATGTTCTTATGTTATTCCATCACCCCATCCTCCTTGCCCTCAAACTTCCACCGTCCCATTAACTGTTCGACACCTTCTGGTGGAGTGCCCCACTCTCAGAGATCTTCACCGTAAGTACCTCTCCCTGTGTCGGGAAGGGGGAGAGAAGATGGATTTTACAGTCTCTCTTCGGTGCTGGGAGGGAAGGGGGGATAGCGTGAAGGTAGCTGGCCTTCTACCCAAGCTTTGATTTTTTTCTATTAACGTTTAAATTGTTTTTATGAAAGTTCTGTTACTTTTTACTTATGTTTGTGTTTGTTTTTTGTCCTTGCATTATTTGATTTTAGTCTTTTAAGCCTTTATTTTAATTCGGCGATATATGGCCTAAGCCGTTGCGTCTCCAAGGATGTACAGTAATTACCACAATCAATCAATTAATATTCCCTTCCTTTCCCTCTTCCATCGCTCCTTTCTCCTACCCTTCTTTCTTCCACCGCTTTTTCTCCTTTCCTTTCCCTCTTCCATCACCTCTTCCTTCTTCCCTTACTTCCATCACCCCTTCTTCCCTCCATTTACTTCTTCCACCTCCCTTCCTTCTTCCCCCTCTTCTTCCACTGCTCCCTCTTCCCTCCCTTTCCCTCTTCTACCGTCCCTTCCTCCCTCCTTCCCTCTTCCTTTGGCCCTTCCTTCCTACCTCTCCTACAGTTATACTTATTACTTGATGAAACTGCCCTGGGATTATAAAGACAGATTTATAGGTCTTGCTTATATCTCTGTTATGGTAGCCAACCCGTGTCACGTACAGTGGATGATGACGATTGTGGGTGATTATAAGGTCAATGGGTGATAGCGAACCTTTCTGTGATAGTGAATCGTATGGGTGATAGTAAATATTAAACGCAATAGAGAAGGCTGTGGGTGATAATGAGGTTTATGTGCGAGGCATATGCGTGATAGTGTGTCATGTGTGAGATAGTGAGTATATTTGTGATAATAAAGTCTTTGGGTGATAGTAAGTTTTGTGTGTGATATTAAGTTAGAATTTGTTTGTCATTGTTATATGATTTTTTTCTGTAGTACAGTATTGTGATAAATTACCAAGATCGACTATGTGATAACAGTTAAAACATCGTCAATAAACTTTCTTGTTCTATACGACACTAGATCCGTAATTTCTTTGCACATTTTCTTGCCTTTTACCTGAGTGTAGTCCTTCAGAGTATCACAGCATCATTATTATAGTCACTGTTTGTAAGTTCACCACCTACCAACCACTGTTAGTTCTCTAGTGTTATTCCTCTCATTTTGAGTAATTTTCTTGCCAATTCATATTTTATGAAGCATTATTATAAGTAGCACCAGGTCTTATATTATATACCTCCTATTGGTATTGGTATCTGGCATTTTACCTGTTTTGGGTACTCAATACAGTCGCTGAGAATTGGCAGCTGTGATGGTGATATATTACTACTGATACTTCATTACTATTCTTTGCTAATATCACTAGGCATTTTTTGTCATTTACCTACCTTTATCACTTTTCCATTTCCAATAAAAAATTCATTATATGATCAAAGGTCAGGACACCTCAGGACATTAAAAAATTTCACGTTATAGGGATGAGCAGGGAGTGTGTCGCGCCTTGTCCTCGTGATCAATGTTCGACGAAGGTGTATGTGAGTGTCTGTGAATGTTATATACGTATTGGAAGGGTCTGTATTAGATATTGAATGTCTGAACTACTGATTTATAAGGCATAAACAGGCTACTTTCAAGTGGGGAAAGTGTAATAGGATGAAAATGTTGACAAACATTAACAAAATATATCTCTTGATCTTCCCTCGGCGATAAACAACTTTCTTTATTCTTATTCAGACGATTCAAGCCTTCATAGGTCTTTTGTCCTAACTATCCCAGTTATAGAAAATGAACTATCAGTACCAGGCAAGAGACATCTTCCCTACAGCCAGACACTACACCGCCTAACTGTCTGGGGTATATTCAACAAGGTCTCCTTCAACACAACTAAAACAAAATACATAAAGTTTAGTGTGACGGAGAATATTTTTACTAGATATTTTAACACCAACATCATCCAAGTGTCACACAACATTGATATTCTAGCCACTTCCCTCCCCTCACAACTTGCTAGGACATACTTTGGTAGATCTCTGACTAAAATTAATTCAGTGAAGCTTGGAGTTATATTGAGAACCAGGCCATAACTTTACGGATGAACAGCCGGCAACCCTTTATGTGAGTCATGTCCGCTAGTCTGAGTATGAAGTTGGATCATTATAACAACCAACAATCTTCCGAAACAGCTTCTTGCATTGCACATTTGTAGGGACATCCAAATTACGTTTCTTCTTCTAGAAATACCATCACAGTAATTGCTCTGATGAACTATACTTAATATTGGGCATCAACTGCACATCCACTGCTTGCTTAAAAATTACCTCTATAGAAGGGTGCATGCCATTGGTATCAACATGGATGACTGGACTGTGGGGGTTACAGTGGACTACACCTCACAGGACTACTCATCGCTACAAGGCACCCTGGACAGGCTATAGGCATGGACTGCGGAGAACAAGGTCACCATCAATCACACCAAAACCGTAGTCATGCACATCAACACCACCACCACTCCAGTGCAAGCTCCAGCAGTTACAGTGGGTGCCCATCCTCTCCAGTTAGTGCAGTCTGCCAAACTCCTGGGTGTAACTATAGACTACAAACTGGACTGAAAGGCCCATGTAAACAACACTATCAAGGCAGCCTCGTACCGACTCTACATGCTACGACGACTCAGGTCACTTGGGGCACCCAAGTCAGAGCTGAGAACTATCTACAACGCATTTATACTCCCAAAATTAACGCATACGTCACCAGCCTGGTCGTCTTCTCTCACCTCTACCCAACAACGTCAGCTAGAGAAGGTACAGAAGAGGGCCTGCAGAATCATGCTCGGCGCAGATTACTCCGGTTACAACAATGCTCTCTCCGCCCTGGAAATGCCATCCCTCAGTAACCTCCACTACCACTCACTAGCAGGGTTTGCTAGTGGACTACTGCACCATCCTCGTCATCGCCACTTACTACCACCGCCTACCTCGCGCAGTCCGCCACTACAACAAAATTCAGCCCATAAGAGCTGGCACTGATAGATATAAGAATAGCACCATCCCATCTATTGCCAAAATATTTAACAGCTCCTGATTTATGTACTGTACACTGTACAGCATTGTAAATGTATTGAACGTATATTATGTCTAAATCACATATAAGTCTGTATATTTTCAGCCACCGGCTGCAACTCTATTAATAAACCGTTTATTATTATTATTATTATTATTATTATTATTATTATTATTATTATTATTATTATTATTATTATTATTAACATTCCATCTTGCAAAACCTATGATTTATCAAAATTCATTTACATCCTGGCCCCCATTTTATAGAATTCTCTGCCACAATTTGTTTTTTCTTTTTCTATACCGCTCAACCCCAGGAGCTCAGAACACCCTGCTTCAAAGCTCTTCAATATTTGGCAAGGGGACACCCGAGGGAGTAGACTTGACAATGCCACCTGCCTGATCTTTCCCTGCAAAGGCGACCTATTATTATGAAAACAGAAAACTGTAAAGTATAGCAAATACTGTAGATGCATGTTCGCCAGGAAAATGTTCACAGCCGTGTGTGTGTGTGTGTGTGTGTGTGTGTGTGTGTGTATGAGTCACTGTTACACAAAGTAAATCATTGTTTGTCAGGAAGTGTTTATTGTCACTAAGCACTGTCACCAAGCACGTGGGTGTTTGACGAAGAAAATGCGTTTCATCATTCGACAGATAAGTGTAAGAGAAGAATGAATTGACGACCTTATGTAAAAATTTAATATACTTGGAATCCTTAACGCC